TTCAATTCCATTCACTTTCTTACACTTGATGAAGTAAAGGTTGCCATGTTTAAAGCCTTTGGCAACATCATCTCAATCCAATTTCTTTACAAAGCACCCAATCTTATCAAATTGTACCTTACAACCATATGAAATTAGTTTAATCATTGAAAGGAGATTTTTCTTGATCTTGGATACATGCAAGACGTCCTTCAATTTGATCTTCTTAATTTTTCCTCTCACAACAATCTCTACTAAAATAGAGCTCATTCCAATGACTTATACCATGCTATTATTTCCTATAAAAATATCTATTGCTGAAATTTCTTTATAAGTGTCAAATAAATATTTGTATAGAGTCATGTATTTGGTGGCATCCGAATCATTCACCTGTTTGACGATCTAAACAATGGACTTATACTTTGATTTAATAAATAAATCTTCAATTTAAGATAAGTTTAGATTATTTAACTTCTGAGTTTTATTTTTTTATTTTTTGCTTTATATTTAATAAAAAAATCAGTAAAATAAAATAAAAATTTATGTATTAAAGGAATTTTTTTCTATTACATACATTAATTCTTTCATGTTTTCAAATATTTATTTATGTCATGAGTTTAATAATAAAATATCATTATTTATTACTATTATTTATTGGAAGCACCTTAAAAGGATTGTTATAAGATTCATACGATGATTTGAATAATGTTAAACATTTGAATAACTTCTCATTTCTTTTAATGTCTTTAATAGCTACTTCTTTCTTCACATTGTTATTCAATTAGAGATTGTTGATTTTCCTATTGTTTCAAGTCATCAGAAATTAATCTTTAAAACTGGTGTGCAAATTAAAAAGTTTGTATTTTGGTAATATTCATCATAGATGTCCAAAATCTGTATATTGTTGGATAACAAACTTCACAGATCACAATTTGTTACTTGGGGGCATTCCTCTCTTACTTTTAAGACACCAATTGTTGGTTAGAGGAAAATCAAACAAAGCTACAAAATTCTTAACTACAAAGTTCAAAAACTACAAATACAAGTATAAGTCCATTGTTTAGATCGTCAAACAGGTGAATGTTGGTGTCGGTGTCAGTGTGAAGGTAACCAGAGTTTCGAATGGACTCCGAAAGAGCATATTCTAGTTCTGGCAAATGAGATGTTTCTGAAGAGGCCAGAGTTTCGTCTTATCTTCTTCTCACCGTTACCACATACACTGAAGTATTTGACGAGGTTGTAGGTAGCATTAGAAATGACATGATCATGGCCAGATATCCTGACTGTGCTTTTGATCGATGCTGTAGGAAAGAATCAGCACCTGTGTGATCCAAAACGGCTTCAGAACTCTCACCTTTTGCCATGTTTCAGAACTATGAACAACTCTTGGCAACTGTAGGTGTGCTATCAAACTACCTCGTGATGTAAACAAATGGACTCGAAGTTGTCAAGCATACTTTCGTGGAGCAGAGAAAGGTAAAGAGTACTAGAGGTGCTTTAAATCGACAATAAAGATTGTACGAATAACAGCCATTCAGACTGGTGAGAAGCATTTCGCCTGTGTAGCCAGCCTTACAATGAAATGGATCTCATTAGCGATGAACTTGACAGGAACTGATGCGCGGAGCATTCACAAATACTTGACAGTGAGTTATGCACGTGGTCGTTGCATGGCGTGTTGGATAATGTATTAAAGACAGCAGAATCGATGCTGTTGCGAACCAACAAGTCGTTATGGCCGTCAATCTGCAAATTGACCTCCCATTGACAAATGTGAGACGTTCTGAAGGTCATAACAATAAGAAAAAGATAAAAAGCAGAGAGGTCAAATGAGCGAAGATGTTACAGTACAGCGAAATTAACACGCTGCTTATAAGAAAAATTCTTTACAAATTACTCACTGATACTTTGATGGGGTATTCAATACCCGTCTTTTCTCGGCGTTTTGACCAGTCTTTGTTTAACCACCACAGCACAACCTCTGCGTATCACTGTTTACCCTTTCGTTGCATTCCTGTGAAGGGCTCAGAGGTCTACTGTTGGTATCAGTTGCCTAATGATCATCGTCATATGATTGATGTGGGGTTGAATAGACCAGCATAGCATTTTCAACTTCAATCACAGCTATCCCTCTAACTTAAACTATTCTATGCAGCGCACATACATGCTGCTAGAGGTCATTCAAAAGATGTTGTAATATGCGGAAGGCATAGCAAATCATACCCTGCATGGAATCTTCTGTCAACTAAGATATGTATCACTTGAATTGGGTACAAAACCTTGTTTTACAAGACTTTGTGAGGTTCGATCAGAAACCGGAAGCAATCTAGAAAATATAAGCTTTGGACTGGAATGACTCAAAGCTGAAGGGACAGCGAATGCCCAGCATTAAATCAGGCTTGAGAATGTTGCCAATATTCTGCCAGTTAAATTGCAGTTACTGATCGATTTTGCAGAAGTTGAGCTTACGATACATGTACAACTTGGCGTTTACAATTGAGCAGTCAAATTCGATGTTTGTTAGGAAAAAATACAGTCTGCCTAGACAAGTGAGACCAGGCAATCAACGCTGCGGTGGTAATAAAGCATCTGGGTTCAAATTCTTCTGCAAATGGAATGTGAGGTTTTAACTTGGTTCTATCAAAAGGAAGAGGTGATTCATTTACAATGTCGCTCTCCCCATGAAGTATCTATTTTTGGAAGAAGAAATAGACTCATTTTTATGAGCGGCTAGATCAACAACCAGCTTCAACTTAGTCAAACATCCATTGGTAGTCTAAGATCTTCAGACAAAGAAGCACTTGTATGTGTAGATAGATATAGGTGTACTAGTATTAGGTGCCTTTGGTTTGGAAGTGAAATATTAAATTTTAAAGTAATTGATGTATAATAATGTATAAAATGATAGTAAATCACAATCCAAAAAATGTTGCCAAGAATCACACAAACACATTCCATCAACAATAATAATATGTAAGGAAAAGAGAAATAATAGGTATATATATATATATATATATATATATATATATGTAAAATCAAAAAAATAAAAATCATAGACTACAACAATACGAATATTCTGTCTTTATTTTCTTGTATATTCTAAAAATTTATATATAATTTTTTTCTTTTACCAAGAATACTTAAAATTTAGATATATTTCTTTTTTCTCTCCAGTTTTAGCATCACAATTTTTTTTGAGATGTAACAAAATTATTAATTATTAATTAGTAAATAAAATAAAAATATAATATAAAATAAAATAAAAATTAAATAAAACAAAAAATTATAATATATATATATATATATATATAATATTATACACACATACATTTATTATGGAAATACATTGTTGGTGATGTATTTTGGGAATTGATTTTAAAGATATACCACATATTTCATTTATTTAAAAATCAATAAACTGAAAAAATTTAATAAATTTTAAGTTATGGAAAATTAAGTATGATTAAAAATTCCAGTTTTACATTTTGAATAATTTTATTAATGTTGAAAAATAACAGACTTTATAAAAGAAAATGATGTCTTAAAAACGAATTTGTATATGACTATTTAACTTCAAAACATGAACTTAATTTCTTAATAAATATTACAGGCATAAGAAATTAATTAATTAATCTTCGAAATGGATTTCAACTTTAGTTATATGTTTAAAATATTCAAATAGATGAAAAAATATATGTTTGTAGATTTTTATAAATTTTTATAAAAACAAAGATATAAAGTGTATTTTAATGATAAAAAATTATAATAAATAATTTAAAATTAAATAATTAATTTAATAATTAATTCAAAAATCTGATTTTAATTGAGCTCATGCATCCATCAAAAATCAAGTTACACTTTAGAAAACTATCTATATGAAAGCCAATAATACAATTTTTTTCAATTACATGGTTGTTATAAATAATTTATTGAATTTCAATTAATTTTTTTTATAAAATCAAAATTTATACTATTTTAACAAAATAATTAATTATAATCAGTTTATATATATACATATATTTGAAGTGCAATTTTTTAAAACTTTTAGAAAAAAATTAAGAAAATTCTATCTTTCTTATTAGAACCTTAAAAAATTAAATAATATACATCATATATTTAAATATTTATTTATTTATTTATTTGATGATCTTATATACCATTTTTATAAAGGACTTGTTATTAACACAGTTGTCTATAATTGAAAGATATTATTTAAGAAAAATAAAGGTTGGTGTAAAACAAAAACAAAAGAAATAAGAAAATAAAAGGCTTATTTAGATAAAAGTTTAATTCTTTAAATTTAAGAATTTTAAGTGAGAATTTATAATTATAATTATAATTCAAATTTATAATTTATTTTAATTAAAATCTTCTAAATTATATAAAATTATAAAATCTTCTATTATTATATTTGTTTGCATGCATCTTTATTGTCTGCATTGCATAGTGAGTTTTATATATTAACTTTTAAATTTTGGTAAGTTTTTGGATCAAGAGATATTAATTTAATTATCTAAGAGGATATTGTAACTTTAATTCTTTAATATATACATATATATATATATATATATATATAATAGAAGAATGCATTCCAATAGAAATTAACCAAGCAATGAAGAAGGATGATAATGAGGGTGGTGAAATTTTGTATTGATGCAAGTATGTATATTTCTCAATTTTTCAATCATAGAACAACAAGTTGTCTTATATCCCTTTTGAATTAGCAAACTCTTTGCATTGTGCTTCAACTTTTCTAAGAAAAATGCCACTAACATTATTAAGTAAAGATGAAAAATTTACAGTTTTGAAACAACACCATTGAAATATGCAGTAGATACTCCTAAATAAGATTTAACTAACAAATCTGTTTAGATAAAGTAGCATTTATTGGTTAAAAATTACTCAAAGTTGTGAAAGATTGCATGCATGAAAATGACACCTGAAACCCAATAAAATTATTTTGCAAGCTGTATGAATTTTATCTTTTTCAGAAAAAAAAAAACAAATAACAAAACAAAACAAACAAAAACAAAAACAATACATTACATTACATCGATACATAAGTTACAAAGCTCCAGCACGGCAAACATGTTACAATCCGAGAACACAGAGAGCTTCCTTCAAAGGGCCGCTCATGATAAAACAACTGTAACTTATTGAAACATTCTTTGAAAGTAGCTCAAGTAGCGTTGTGCATTCGTATCCGCTTCGTGTCTGAACACCGAGTGATCCGACTTGACGTTGTTCGTAAGCAGATTGTGATTGTTGGGTTCCAACACATGAACGTGTTGGTGCATGTCAAACTCCAACTTTCCACATCTAGACTGCATTCAACGTGAGAGAGAGAGGGCGTAATTCTTCGTACAATACTAGGAGATGTTAATTTAGGGCTGGAATTACATCAAATGATAGAACAGGTGGAAAAGGTGCAACCAGCTTTTATATATATATATATATATATAAATACATACATATATACTGATTTCTGATCTATCCGAAAGATCAATAACAACCGCTGTTTATTTTTACTAATCCGAACTTAAGTACCGTTGTGTTTAAGGAACCACTCCGACTTCAAAGATCATGGTGGGTTCCAACTTGCTAGCTGCACCACCTCGATTCAGGAGGTCGTTACTTGTCACCAAAAAAGTAATACTAGAAAGTAAGAAAAGCTCAAAATTTGGATACTAACCAAAAGTATAGTACTCAACAGCATTTCAGTAAAGAGAAAAAAAAAAAAAACGGAAAGCTTCCTTCACAGTCTCCGTTCACGAGGTTATTAAATCGGTCTCTGTAGTTTTAAACGGATGAATCTCCAGCGACATCCTCTCTAGCTGTTCAACACTCCTTTCCAGCTGCACCTCAAGGTCTTCTTCAAGCCATCTGACGACTGCACCTTCAGCTCAAAACTCCAGGCTGTGAAGAGTGACAACGTAGGAAAACTGTGAAGAACCAGCATCAGTGTTGTTTTGCCAATTCGGTTTGATTGTGGAGTGACAACCACTCTTGCAATTCGGTCCACTTGTGAAGAGTGCACAACGATGACTGCAGAGGTAGCATTTGTGTAGCTCTTTATGGAGATCAAAACCTGCTGCGTTACAAGATAACAAATGAGAACGGTATATTTTTTGGAGAAAAGGTTTTTGGCTGTTGTTGTTGTTGTTGCTAGCTTTCCTTCTTCTTCTGCTGCTTCTGCTTCTTCTTCTACTTCAGCAGCAGAGTACTCCATTTCAAACGCTGCCATCTCAAATGTGTCTCACGAGATTCAAGCCCACTTCCTTACAAGGGAGGAATGTGAAGGGTTGCCCAACAAACCTGATGACTCGTGGGAGGAGTCAACTTGTACCCCGCACCTCTCACAATCCCCAATCCCTCCCATTAAGATATTATCTTACCCCTCTTTCCTTGCCCTTCAAATTTACTTTTGTGTTTGTTTGTTGCTCATTTAGCAAAGCCCATGATGGTGTTGACAACTCCTCCAAGTCCTCTCTGTATGCATATATATATATATATATATATATAAATGTAATTTATGTTTGTATCGATTAGCATTAATTGATTATATAGTAATTTTGGCTTCCAATGTGTACTGTAGAAATCAGCATGTGTTGTAGGCTGCAATCACTGCTGCCCTTGCCAATCTTGCCATCTTTGTTAATGAGAAGCCTTGTGTCCTTTGAGTTGTGTAGAGCATGTACTTTGTGAAATATACCAATAGGGACTTCTTCCTCTGTTTTATTTATATCTTTATTTGCCTACTTTGTATTTTTTGTAAGGTGAAAAAAATGACATGTGGAAAACCACTTGCAAGCTGGTCATTTTTGTAAGGATGATTTTGATTTGTGCCTGCAACTCCTGTTCAATGAAAACCCATCATGCGAAAGAAATATGTAAATTTAGCAAAGTGTTTTTATTTTGATTCACCTCATTTAGAGTTTGAATAAACAGATTGGGGAAAAAGTAAAAGTAAAAGTAAAAGTTTTTTTTTTTTTTTTTTTTTAAGTGCATGAAATCAGAAGTACAAGCACGAGAGATCAGACAAAACCTGTTCATCTTCACAAACCGTTGTGGCCATTTGACAATATCTGTGCTGACATGCTGCCCATGTGCTGTAAAGTGTGGTTTTTTCAAATTAGTTATTCCTGTGTTTTTGATATTCTTTAAACAATAGTATTTGTTTAAGAGGATTTTGAAACAAGGTGGATTGATGAGGATCTGGATAAATATTTCTTTGCTGTCTGGTGTTGTTTCAATCCAGATTAAATAAATTAGAACTAATTCAGTTAATGTGTAGGATAGGTTGTATGAGTGGTAGTAGCTGATGTATAGGAATGTAGACCTTACTTTGACCTATTCTTGGAAACAATTGATAGTTAGTTTATTAAGTTTATTCACTTCAGGATACAAATTTTGGGGAATCAAGAACCTTGATTTGACGAATAGAGTGTTTTTTTTTACTTCTTTTTACAACAATTTTTGTATTGTTTTTTGGTGTCTCAACAATATATATCTTCACATACCAGGAAAAGAGTGTGTGTGTTTTTGTGTGCAACTCCATTAACAAATTATCTATCTATCTATCTATCTATATCTCAATAAGTATGTACCTTCAACAAAAACAGAACCCTAAAAAACCCATTTGTCTCCTTGGCTTTCTCCCTCCAATACTAGAAAAATAAGCACAAAAACCATGCATCTCCATCACTTTTCTGCACCCCATTGCCTGCACGAAACCCTAAATATCTATTCTTCTCCATGACTTTCCCATCATTTCATGGAATGGAACCCTAAAAACCATGCAAATCCTGCCACTTTCCCTTTCTTTGATGGTGTGCAGAATGCTAAAAACCTGTGTTTGTATCCATGCATTTAAGGAGGGTGATGGTGCTTCCCCAAAGTTGGATAACAACAAAACTAACTATAGGAAACTTTGACTGCCACTGCAAGCCACAACTCCTACAAATGAAACAAGAGAGAGAGGCTGGTGGGTGGTATTATTTATTTATCTACTTACTTACTTATTAATACCACCATCTTATTATACTTTGTTTTGTTTTTTGTTCATTGCTTTATGTTGGCACGAGACATGAGAGATTTGAGGAGATTGGGTTTTCTGGCTGCTGATCTGACACTGCAACAAAATTCAAGGATTTGATCAGATACTATATTCCATTGCCTTCTCCACATGCCGAGAAGAAAAAAAGGAACCCCAAAAAGAGAAAGCCAAAAGGTGGGTTCCACTTTCCTTTTGACTTTGTTGTGTTTTGTTCCCTTGTTCCCCTTCCCCTATTTCAAAGAGCCCAGAGCATTAGACCACAATCCAAATTACAGATGGGGGAGGGAAATTAAAATAAAAAAAGGGAAAAAATAGAGGCAAATTTGGTTGACTGAAAATATGATGGTATATACTTTTGATAGAAATGGAAGCAATATTTATTTTTAATTAATCTTTCTTAATAATATTTTTAAAAAAATCATGTACAAATCTTCAAAGGGTGGTGGGGAAATTGACATCATATGGATTTGATTTTTGGTGCCCTTGTGATACACAGCCTTTCAAGGAAGGAGCAGCCATTTGAAGAACCAAGCTTCACACCCCATATTCAGAATGAGCCACAGTTCATCCATAGTAAAATTAAATAAAACATCAGCAATGTAAAAACCTACTGATAGCAGTGGTACATTTCAATAGAGTTGCACACATACATGAATGAAAGCAGAGACAGGATGAATGCCATTGTGCGAGGGTTTTCCATCAGGCAGATCACATGTATCTCTGTTTGTGTGTGTATGAGTGTGTGTTTATATTTGTATATGAATATATATATATATATATATATATGAATGTGTATACATATATGAATGAGTGAGCAATCAGATTCAACAAGTAATCCGTGTGTGTGCAAGCAGGTTTTGCTTTCTTCTCATTGGGCACAGAGCACCGGGCATGGAATTATAAGACATAGTTCCAGGGGGTTTGCCAATAATAATGGGTCCACTGCACCATTGCTTTATGGATGAATGAATGAAAAAGGAGCATTTGCCTCATCCACAAACACCAAAAAGCTCACTTTGACACCTCTTCTGTGCATGGAAACCCTAATAATGTGAGGACTGGGGTGAAGTTTTGGGGCAGGACAGCTGCGTTTTTTTATACTTTGGGCCTTGTCTTTGTGTACAGAGTGAAAAGAGGACAATGGGTTTAGTTTGAGTATATTTATCTGCAGTTATTCTTTTTGGACATATAGAAAAAGAATAGTTTGTAGTGCATACTTGAAAAATATCCCATTAAAAATGGAAATGTAACAATGCCAACATTTAATGTGATTTCATTCTTTGGAAGTGTTGGTTTTTGTAATGTTGGCCTCTGCAAAGCATCAAATTTCATTGTGAGCTACCTTCTAATGTATAGCTAAGAAGATTTTTTAAAATCATACTCAAGCAGAGGAGGACAATTTGTTACTGTTTGCTAAATGATCAAAATGGTACCCTATTCGTAATTTGGCTTATTTTATTTTATTTTAATAAACTTAGTCCACTTTCCATTCAGAAGCAAAGTCAAGGAAATTTGAATCCAATATATGTACCATTATTAATTTGTACACTTGAACAATTACTTTTGTACATTGGATTTTATAAAAGGGAACTTTTCTAACCAATAGATGAATGTTTTTTAGAATGCATGGTGTGTTTTTTGAGAGTTCCCATCCCTGAATGTTCCCAGTTGGTATGTCTGTTTCTGAACTGAAGATGGGTCTTCCTTAAGATTAAGTGGAGAATATCACATGGAATTTTATTTATTTTTGTGTGAAAGCAATACCTCATTTCCATTCATAATGGTAAAAAGTAAATGATAAATAAACAGAGATGAACTGATTTTCTAGTTTTGTTCGCTGCATTTATCCACTAGATTTTATTCATTTATTTTTAGTATGAAATTTGCTTGGTCCAAATGTAATATCTATAATGTTTATATTTTGATCATTTGCACTTTTTTCCATAAAACAGATCATGACATATAATATGCAAGAAAACTGGATATATAAAGAGGATGGGAATTTCTAGAGTTGAATCCTTGATACAGTTTTTCATCTATGTTACGTTAAAAGGATTTTCAAAGGAATAAATGAGATGAATTTTCAATAATATCACCAGACAATAAAATTTCAAAATAATAATAATAATAATAATTTTGTTGAACACAAAAAAAGGAATGGAGAAATGAACAAGGGTTCTCATTTTTAATTTCAGTATTAAAGAATACATTTAAAACATTGGATTTTCTGTTGGTACTTCCAATCAATACACAGCTTGTATACTATGCTCAAAACAATGAAAAAATCATTGAAGTTTGATTTATTTATTTGTTTGTGTGTCTGTTTTTGTTTGTTGAAGAATGGGTTTCATACTTTTGGCACTGAACCCTAATACCACCTCCCATCCACAGCAATAACTAGGACAACAGTGAAAAGACCAAGTCTCACCTGTGTTTTTCTTTGGTTCTATATGGTAGCCCAAGTTGCCAGATGCCCAATCTTTGTATCTCATGAAATCCAGCCCATTGTTTTTTTCCAAACCAACAAAATCCCAAAAGGCTAGGAAGCATGTCCCCCCCCCCCCACAATATCCTTTATTTCCTGTAACAGTTTGCATCATCCTCCATGAAAGCTCACAAACCCAGTCAATTTGCCACATTTTTCCTGTAGGGTGTGCACACCATTTCCAAGGCAAAGCCCAGCCCTCAATAAATAAACACTTAGACCCTCTTTGTTGAGCCTTGAACTCAAACCCCTCTCTAAAAAGTTTCCAAATGATTTGAATGGGGGCCACCCTTTTCTGCATAGGGCAATGCACAACTCAGTTTGACTCATTCATGTGTTGTAACCCAATGTAGGATTGTCTTTTCATAAACAAAATGTCAAACTCACACTCTCTTTTTCATTTATTTTTTTTTAACAATACTTATTCTCAGCAAAGAGAATGAAGAGATTGGCTGGGTCATGGTTGTGAAGGCCACAAGTGGGTCTATATGACACGACCCAATTTTTCCTTTACTGAACAGCATTTGTATGCTTCAGTTTCTGAACTGGATTGTGGGTACAGAAGGAGTGAGCAACTAAAGCATTTATAATTCTGCGAGGGTACTAAGTTTCCATTAATTCAATATGGAATGAAAGTCAATCTACACTGCAGAAGGTGGACTTGGTAGTGTAGAAGGCGTTGAGAATCTCATCCCTTCAGCAACTGCAGTTGACAGTCATCCAGCCACTTCAAATTGAATTAGTGTGTGTGTGTGTGCGCCTGTGAGTGTATACATGTTTTACTTATTCTTTTATACTTTTAGTTTATTTTTATGTATTTTTCACCAGCCTCTACATGCCTGAACTCATGGAACTCATAGAGGCGCTGCCGAGATTACCTGAAATCGTCACCAAGCAATAGTGAAAAACATAACGCAGAAGAATCTCGAAGACTACCACGTTTCGGCGACGTCATCAGTCATCGGGGCGGCTGATCCATACAAATAGTTCTCAGTCCCATCCCCATTTCACCATCTTACATTTGGCTGAGTCCGTTATTACATTCAACGTGAGTCTGTTGCTCTCAAATTTGCTTCACCCACCAGGGAGTGAGTGACTGAGTGAGAGAGGGAGAGAGAGAGAGAGAGAGAGAGAGAGAATTAGTGCTGAAGCCAGAGCGGCGCTGTTGCTGTTTTAAGGGCGTCTCTGTGAGATCAAGGACATTCTTAGGTCCATATACTTTGTGTCACAGTTGTGCACATTGTCATGAAATGGCTTTAGACTGTACATTCTCTGGTCCATGTGCCTGTGAATGCAGGCATCAGTTGCCGTTCTAAATTCACCATTGTTGTTGTGTGTTTGTTTGTGTTATTGTTTGTTTTTACACCGCTGTTCTCACCGTGTGAGGCACTAGAAATGTTCACGCCAACGCTGATCTTGTACTCTCTAGCAATCCCCCCCCCCTCTCGAGAAAAATGAGACTTGTGGTCATCCCAGTTGCGGCGGCAAAACCGAGCTCAATTTGAGATCAGCAGTGATCGCCTTGATCAGGCGAAGCGCTTTAAGTCGCTTTCCTTGAGTGCGAGTTTGTGGCTTGGCTTGTACACACAGTGGAGACCGAGTGGAATTGTTTTTAGTGTATTGATCAGCGTGGAGCTTCAGCATGGGTGTTTGACCTTACAACTCGGCATTGATCAATCGTGGTTGTAGAGTCATGCACCTCTGCCGACTCTCCGGCTCTGTGTACTGCTCCTTTGAAGAGTTTCGGAAGCCCCTTTGATCACAACAGGTGTGCACGTGGTTGAAGTCATACACCACTAATGTGCCTCCCGTTCAGTGAATCTTATTCCATCATTCAGGTCATGGGAAACACTGCCTCTTGTCCTCATTCTATTACCTGCACCAAGTAGGGGGTTCGGAATCAGCAAGTTCCTCAGGTAAGTCCATCCTGTGGCTCACAATCGAACCGTCGGTGTGGCATGGATTTCAGTGGGTCTATTGTCGGTGATGTCTTTTGTATCGCTCAGAATTATTTCTTGAACCGTGCTTACTGGCTTCTGCATTTTGCAGTTTGGATTCAACTTTCCGCGAAAGGAAGTACATGAATGCATGTGAACTTCTGGATGAAATGTCAGAAAAGCGCACGTGAATAGCCTATCCAATAGCTGGAAAAATTATCAGTTGGCCGTGCACACTCATTCTGGGTGCATTTTTCTCGTTTAAGAAACCCCCCCCCCCTCCCTCCTTTGAAATCTAGTTTCCATGTCAGCTTTCATCCTTATCTTCCTCATTCCACAAGGTGCGCCGGCGTTCCACACAAGACTAGAGGGTCAGCAAGGGTGTGTGACTCTATAATCCAAGCTGTGCTAGTAGATCGCTTAAGATCGAAGTGCACACCAAGCATTCGATTGTAGAGTCATACACCTCCACTGACACTTCTAGTCTATCTATCTATCTATGTATCTCGTCAAATCCGCTCCTGCCACTACTGCTGTTCATAATGCCTGCAACCTTCATCATCGAACTCACTCAGTTCCCACAGCATGGGCTATGAACATAACCCCTCTGTTAAACCCTTTGGAGAGGAGGAGTAGAGAATCCTATTGTGCTGTTTTACTCTAGTTGTATACAGGGACAAGCCTAGTCGCCGTCATGTGTAGGTTCACTCTATTCAAGGTTGGATTGTCAGCAAAGGTGTGCGACTCTATAATCCAAAGCTTGTGGGAGGAATTCACCTCGCCTGTGACCGATTGTAGAGTCATACACCTCTACTGACCTTCCAGTCTCTTTGCTCACAGCTTCCACCAGCTACCGCACACACTATTTCTCTCTTTCTCTGAGGCATCGACCCATTCAAAAGACTCATGCGAACTCTGCAACTAGAAAGGTCAGTGTCTCCCGTCCCTCATTGCATGTCGTTCTAAAAACTAGATTTGTCAGGTTTTCCTTGTTTAATTTATTGCTTTTATTGGACGAAAGGCATATTTCTGTTTAGTTAATCTGGCTCTAGCAATGACAGGTTCAACAATGGCTGCGATTGAGGTTAATTAGATACGGTCACCTGCAGGAGTACCCACAAACGCCTCGATTCTGTTGTCATCGTGGAGAAACTGCCTGAAAATTTGTGGCGGGCAATGCTACGCGAGTGCAAGATCTGTTGGACCACTCTTCAAGCGAGTCTGTTCGAAACCCCATTAAATCAGGTTGTAATTGTTTTGTGACCATGTCACCGACACACAAGTAGTGGTTTAGCATTGTTCTTAGTTCCATATTATGAAACTAGGCTTTGTGCTGGATGACTACTCTACATTCAGATTTTCGTGCTGCACCAGATCTAAGAAAGTAGCATTGAAACCTCGCGGTATAGCGGGGAGGTGAACAGATCCTACCATGAAAAAATGACGCTTTGATTTAGAAAATGAACTCAGCTGAGATGTTTTCTTGTGAGAAATGGACCATTCCTAAAAAAAACAACTGGTTGCTGATGTGCCCGGATTTTGCTAACCTCAAAGTCTCTCAGTTCGCACCTCTTCACGTGCATCGCCTCTTCTAGGCATTCTACTGAATATACTACAATACTAACTATTCAATTCAGAAGACACAAATGATACTCTATTAATGTATGCTGTCGAATTCGCGCACAGACATGAAGTCCCTTAAGCAACTGGGAACCAATTGTTTTTTTACTTACAAGGTATATAGTGCAAAATGAGGCTATTCTCCCAATATTCTTTTCCAGTACTGTTTTCTTCCATTTTGATTGTAGACCATTTTCAATACAATCTTCAAAAATTTGTTCGCATTGTTACAAATTCTTCAACCAACCGCACGTACCCCATTTGTAAGCATTCTGTGATCATCATTCAGATTATCTAAATGTCTTGCTGATCAGGCATACTTGAATTCTCGACCAGCTAAGACTTTTCCTCTAATGCGTCTTCTGGGCCCAATTACGTCTATAATCTGTTGTATGGCTACGAATTCATACGCATTCCTGAGTAATAACGAAGTTGGATAGACATCTGCACCAGTTCTGCCGTTGTCCTTGAGCTCCATTACCAGCTGTTAAACCTGATGGCATTAACAAACCAGAGTTGGGATGCACAAATGACAGACCGGAATGTGGTAAAATAATTTGAGTGATATCCCTGGTTTCACTCTAGCAACCGTTACACAGGAAATTCTCAGACCAATACACTGCAGAAAATAATCTCGCTGCACTACAACGTGATGAACAACTCACAGTGTCAGATATTGAACCCCTCGGAAGGAAACAACTTACATGTATGTACATGACTTGGATCTTATCAGACAACCAGGTAGAATACTGTCTGAGAGAGAAAAGGTTTGAGAAATGCAATTGTTTGTTGTCAGGTCCTTGGCAAAGGAACGAACATGGTTCCTTGGACAAAGCTAACAGATGTTGCAGCACAAAGCTCAGTGACTGACTGACAAAGCTTCAACACCGTCCACTTATCTGGATTGGATTGTTAGTATTATTGCTAACTAGCAAGACCATGTTCTGTTGCTTCAAAGTGCCGCTGACACAATAATCCATCAAACACATAAACCGCCAGATTTTATTAATCGAATGTTTGCTTCACACTGAAACCTAGGATCAACTGGTTTTAGTTCTGAATGCATCAAACCAGCTTACCTCTTCCTGCACAACAACCCAACGAAACGGGGCTCTCTATCAACCAATATGGACGAATTCACCGTCAATATATCAACACTCACAGGCTAAAGAAATTACTCATACCACAATTACACAACTTGCTGAGACTAATGATGGACAACCACGACGCTTCAATACTTGTTGCTTGTGTTCCAAGTCGAGCATGATTTGCAAGTATTTGTGACACGCGGAGGTGAAGGTTTCTTCCTCATACTTGTCTTTGGCATTGAGATCCATGACGATTCAACTGGTAGTTTCACCCTGCAGCGATGACAACATGCTGGCTGCAGATTCAGCATGGGGTGATGCCAACCTTGTCTTGCTCGGGAGAGAGAAGAAGCCCTTACAAGCCTGGCATCTCCCCCTACAAAACTTGACGATCGTTGTCACTGATTGAGCAGATGCTACAATAACGTCTGCGTCTTCACACATTGCTGGATTTTCTCACACCACGACAGGCTAGAAATTCATGCGTTTCGGTGACGATCCGTGCCCACACTCTTTTTGCTTCAACAGGGTCTGTATCAACAGGTGGTGTGATGCAAGATTCAAGGAGCTGAGGCTGATCTTGCATCTGTTGCAACATCAAGTTGGTGGGCACATTTTCTCCAGTTGAAGATCGCCCAAAGCACACAACACAGAAAACGTTAAGGTTACTGTTTTTTTTTTTTTTTTTTTTTTTTTTGTTGGAAAGAGCTTGTTTTTGTGAGGTGGGGGGATTTTTAGTTGAGATGAATTCTGCCATTTCTTTTGCAGTGTTACAATCGCAATCCATGTGGGTGCGCCACTTCATGCCATCATACAAAGTTATAATGCTAGTTCTAGGTCACTTCAGATTGTAAACATTCATGTTTTTGTGTTGATTTCATGTATTTTGTAAATCTTGAAGAAGGGTGTTGAGGTCATGAAAACCCTAAAGTAAGGTTTATGTCAAAGAGTTTTCTCTATTGAACAGAGGTGGTGGTGTTTTGTGAATGTAGTGAAAATTTGAAGCATGAGGGTCAGTGTTCAGTTCTATAATAGTATTTATATACAGTGAATGATTGCAGATAAAAGTTCTGAAATAGTTCTTGTTGTAAATATAACTATTTGAGTAAATTGTCTTTGAAACTGTAATGTTGAATGTTTCCTACGATTTTCATGAAACAGTACTAACATTTGGGGACTAATATTTGAAGTGGATGTTCTCCTTTAATACACTTTAGTCACTCATGACCTCTAAACGTTTTGCTGTAAAGGGAATTATTCTCTAAATTACTAAAACATCAAGCAACATTGACTTGTCACTCTAAACCTTAAAAATTCACATCTTTGAAAGAATAATTTCCAAATAACTACACAAAGAACTCCAAATTGTTGATGCATTTTTATTTTATTTAATTATGTTGTTTTTGTATGAAAAGATTTGTTTGAATTTCAAAGTTTCAAGATCTACATTGTTTCAACTAATATAGATACAATTATTCAGTGAAGTCAATTTTGGTTCCCCTAAAATCACTTTATGATTATTATTATTTTATATTCTTTACATATAATTATTTAACATTATTTTAACCAAAAAAATAGAATGTCACTAAAAGATTCAATTTATTGTATGTACTCTAAAATTTGGATAACTTTGGCAATGATATTTAAAATAAACAGCTAAAACACAAACGATTGTTTATAAATATATATATATATATATATAAAATATATAAAATAAAAAAACTTCATAGCAATAAATATTATAATAAACTTCAAAATTAATAATTGTTAAGAAAATTCAGAAAAAATACAGGTGGTTTATTTCTCATAAATATATATATATATATATATATATATATATTCTAGTACACACTTCTGGATGTACATGTGGCTTTACTTTATAAAGTAAAAACAAATAAAAAAATAAAAATTAGTGTGTATGAACATTTTTCTCAAAAGCATTATGCAACAAGAGTAAAAAGTAAACAATCCACTTCAAAATCTGATAATACAGTGCGCACATGAATTATTAAAAAAACGAAAAAACAAAAAACAAAAAACAAAACAAACAAACTTCAAGTTGATAAATAAGAAAATAAATAAGTAAATAACATTTACGGTCCACCTAAATATTAAAAGACAAAGTTCATGCTTATCAAATAAAAATTAAACCTCCAGTGTAATCCTTAAACACCAAAGTGATTAAGCTCTTATTTCCAATTGTGACGTCTACTCCCAAATTCATTTCTATTGCATGTTCTCCTAGTCAAGCATATTTATGAGTTCTATGCCCCTTGAAGAGCGTTTCCCTTGAAAATAAAATGAGACTAATCCAACGCAAACACAACTTATGGGTTACATCTAAAATTAGAATTTTGATGCAATTTTAAATCTTAATTTAGTTTTACTAGATACTTAACGCGCAAACAATAGGTCTACGCCAAATAATGAGGTCCACAGAACATGGTCAACACAATGGCCAGCTTGGTCATATTGTTGGGTCCCTCTGCCAGCTAGGATCATGTTGTGGGGTGCCACGTCGGTTCTTCATCTTAAATAGCATCCTCGTGAACTAGAATCTAGGCTTAGCCCATGAGGCTACTCCCATTTATACATGGAAACTATACAAATATAAATTCATTGCCTTGTTTCATGAAAAGCCTGGAATCAATATGTGTGTGTATGACTGTTTTGGTGTTTGTATGTGTATCTTCTATATATATATCTATCTAGGTTCTTAATTTTTAATTGCATTGTGTAAAGATAAAAACTGAATGGGTAGTTTCTAGGGCTACCTTTGGTCTGTTTTTTTAACACTAACTTCCCTAAGATATCACATACTTGGTATGGATTTAATGGTGTGTGTGTTGAAGAGGGCCAAGAGAAGGAAGGAAAATTTGTTAATTGATAGGAAGTATGAGATGTGGGACATAGAGGATATTAATGTGTAAAAGATTTGGGAAGTGATTAAGGAGGATTTGTTTGATAGACAAGTTGTTTGAATTGTCATTCGTAGGTTATCTCCTAACAAAATGACCATTCAAAACCATTGGTGCAAAAAGTTGTCTCCATGTGTGAAATCTCATTATTATTATTATTATCTTTTAAAATAAATTTTTGCCAACATTCTGGACCCAAGAGTTTTTTATTTTAATTTTTAAATATGCGTATTTTTTACATGCCAGCGAAAAAAACAAACAAACTAACAAACGAACTAACTAACAAAAAAAAGAATAAAAAAAAACAAAACAAAACAAAATCAAAAACAAAAACAAAATGAAAAAAATAAAATAAAACAACAAACAACAATAATGATGGAGTATCTTTGGGGCCATAGTAACTCTTTGACACATGGCTATCCTCATATCAAGGGCAATGAGGACTAAAGTTTGTGTGTATGAATACATGTGGATGGAATTATGATTTGAAGTTTAAATACAAAAAAGAATTCAGCTTAGAAGGTTGAATATACTTTTTTATTAAAAAAATAAAAATAAAAATAATTAGATTCCTCACTCTTTTACCCAGCTTGTATAATGCTTCTCCTGAAGTATTGTCACTACCACATTTTCTCAATGTAACTGTAACTTATTATTTTCTTGTGCTACAAGTACACACAAAAAAACTGCCCTAGAAACAGTAATATACAGGGTACAAAGGCAAACACAAAATTTTGAATATAGAATCTTAGAAACAAATCAATTCATTTGAACACCTTGTGACAATACTCTTCTCCTTCCCTTCCCCAAACATCACATCCCTCAGATCCCCAGATCCTAATCCTAATTTCCAAACCCTAATTCAACCGTGGGGTCAGAGTGGGGATGCTAACCAACCCAGATCCCTTGTGGAGTTTTTTGAAGAGGAGGACACTTCAACAACAGGATTGAGAAAAAGGCAGGAAGAAGAAGACGAAGAAGACATGTGACCACCTTAGAGAAAACTGCCACGTGGGACAGCGGAGTCCTAGTCAGCATGCCAGGTGAAGTCCAGGTCACCACGTGGTGCCATGTGGTGAGCCCAGATCCGTGATGCTCATCTACAGCAGCGGCTTGGTCGGCAGGAATAATCCACTTTGCGGCCCCACTCTCTGTGCGTCGTTCGCTGTCTCCCCACCCACTTTGAACCAAGTCTTGAGACTAGTGGAAGATTGGTGATATATATATATATATATATATATATGTTTTTTTTGAGAAGATTTCATCTGTTTGAGATTTTAATGAGGCATGGGAGAAGAAATCGTTGAATGGATTGCATTTGTTGCGGTGTAGAATTAGTTCCATATGGTTCCCTTACGTTGTTGTGTGTAGGTTTACCTGATCTTGGTGCCCACAAAGATGCCAACTCATTACTTTACCAACATTGCCATAGTGGATTTCTACTAGCAAACAATATGAGTCCATATTATTTAAAAAGAAAAAAAGACAAAAAGAAAAACCATGCTACTCATGCTCTCGACTTTTTCTTTTTCTTTTCCTTCCTTTCATATAAAATGTATTAAGAAAAAAAGAAAAGAAAACCTTGACATCTTCACAGAGCAGAGAGAGAGAGTCCAGTGACAGTGGGGCGAAGGCAAACAGTGTGCAGAACAGAAAGAATACGCTCCAGCCGAGAAAGGAAGGCAAGTGATGGAGTAGGGCCCGTGTGGAAGGAAGGGGCTCTAAGTTAATGCTATAAACTCACAGCCAGGAAGAGGTTTTCCGTTCTTAGTAAGCACATCACCCAGAAACTGGAACGACATCTTCCTCATATTCCAGAGATGGAGGGGAGGTGCCAACTGTGGTGGTGGCTCTTGCCTCTCCCTCTCATTCCGGGCAATGGAGGAGGAGGAGGAGGGCTACAGTGCCAGCAGCAGCAGGAGCATCTACTGTCAAACCACAAAGCAATCAAGCAAGGTGAAAGAAAGGTTCATGATCATAAGCCCATGCCTTGTTGCTCACACTACTCCGAATCATCCGATTTCTGGTTGTGGAGGCCAGCAGCCCCATCATTTTTCTTACACTGCCCCCCGCCCCTCTCCCACCGTTTGTTGATTCTCTCCCCCTGCTCATGTTGTGGCTTTTTCCCACCCCCATCAGCTCATCATCTCCACCATTCCGTTGCTGCTGCCTGGAGGTGTAGGAGCCATCAGTAGCAGCAACAGTGTCAATACCCAGTCTCTCTCACCCTGTTTTGTTTTGTTTTTGTTTTCTCATGCAGAGTGGAAGTTGACTCCATCTCGTGGTTTTCTTTCCAGTTCGTGGCAGTTTTTTTGAGTTTGTTGTCAGTTGGTTGCAAAGAATTGGCTGATGTGGGTGGTGTTTGAGGCTCAGAGGATTTAGGAACAGTGTGTGTGTGTGTGCGTTGTTTCGTTTGAGGATGGTGAGAATGAAGCGTGGGAATGGATGATTGAGAATTGGGTAGTAGATTGGTGGCAGGTGTGAAGGTGAAGTTGATGGTCTTGTTGTCTCGTTTCAGTTTTTTCTGGTGATTTTTCTAGAGTTGGGTTGGTAGTGGTTGGAGGGAGGAGGTTCAGGGAGTGGGAGTATGAGAGCAGATGACTGGAATGGGAGGGGTTTCGGTTTTTAGGAGGGGTTTGAGTGGGAATTCCGAGTGCAAGCTGTGATGCGGCTGCTCTTGTGTGGCTGAGGGAACTCTTTGGAAGGAGTTGAAGGGTCAGAACGGCGGTGGTGGTGCCGTGTTTGAGACTTGCATTGCGTGGAAAGTGGGAGTAGGAGAGCAGGGGGGTAGGATCTTCAGAGTAAAAGAGGGAGAGAAAGAAAGAGAAGCTGAGGTTGTGATACGCAGAGAGAAGAAGCGAGTTGGAAATGTGATTGGAGGAAACCATTCGTCCAGGTATGTTGAAGTTGGCATTCCTTCAAGAAAATGTAGAATCTTGTTAAAAATGAGTTACCGAGCTCCTGACTGATCTCATGTGATCATCGAGCAGCGCTGGGTAGTCAGCGCAACTGCGCATTATGGGAACGAAGAGTCACTTGTACCAGTCTTGAGAGGAAATTTTCTTTGAGAATAGCACTGGTTTATATCGTGATCAGCACTCCTTCCCTGCTATCACGGATCTCGTACTTCGAGCTCATGCCTCTGCTCTAGCTTTGTTAGCGTTGTGTACTTTTCAGCGGTACCCTCTCTTTACGCCTTCTCGTGAGCTTTGCGTAGTTTTGAATGTCAACTTCTCCTCACAGTCCCTCCTGAGAGACTACGTCTCAATTCAGTGATCCATTGTCATCACTGTCATTATGAATGCGTCTCATTCGTAGAACTGGTTTGTGTCTTCATACGAGGTCCCACATACATGTCTAGTTGTGGTTAGAGCAAGAAAGATGGCACATGTTACACAGCATGAAAGCATGCCTTGGGATATGCGCCGCACGGGGGCCAGCAGGTGGTTGTCAGAAAAACAAAAAAAAAAAAAAAAAAAAAAAAAACACGAGCTGAAATTTTCATAGTTTGTGACCTCAACCTACCTCTCGTGAACGCGCCGGATCCTCTCTAAACGGAAGTTAACAAGTCAGAGGTGTGACGTTGCAGGAAAGTAAGCTTCCGCAAATTTTCTCGCGTTCTTGAAAGGTTCAAGCATTTGCGCGGGCTGTTTCCAAATATATGTACGAGCAGTTAGTAGAGAGAACATGGTGAGTTTTCCCAAATCAGTAACGGTGTTTTTTCTTACAAAAAAACTCAATGATTGAAATGACTTATACCATGAATTTTAGGTGGCTGGGTTGGATTATCTTTGTTCATGTAACACTGATGATAACGAGGATAGTTTCAATATACCAAGTATCACGAAGCGTTTCTGAGTGAAGAAAAGTGTTTCAGTGCCTCTCAAAGTCATCGAATTATTTTCTCTTCAATTTTAACATTACCATTATTTAGAAGTTCTTGATCTGTTCACAAAAACCTGTTACCTTAATGTTTAATTTTCAAATACTGCTGTTACTTCTTCAATCATGACAGAGGTTTATATACATTTAAATTTTAGTTGACTAAAAGAACCTACTCCTTCCTAAACATCTTTGAGAGTCGCTTGAAGTGGCTTACACATGAAGGCTGTATAAACGTTGCTACTTGTTTCTGCATGACGATTTACTTCTCTAATTTTTGGACATAATTTCTCTTGAGATCTTTATGAGTGTGCTTAGCGAGGTAGAAAGCTACGAAGCACCTGTGACCGAGTTGCAGCCACCATCTTCGAGACCTCAGCTTTCTGAGTTTTAGGGCTTGATAAGGATTGGGATCGTGAGCACTAATTATTCTGCTTATAACGTAATATGCAGCTGCAGTCAAACATTAATGAGGCTCAGAGGCTCCTCCTGTAGTGCAGATCCGCAGAAGCTAATGTTTCAGAAGTCTACCACATCTGAGTGCCAAATTAAGCTGCCTCGTAGGCTCTCTCAACATGGGTGTGTGTTGTCCAAAGATGGCACCGGCGAAACACAAGGATGAACAACTTAATTCAAATCCATCTGCGGTTGTGCCAGCGTCATCCTCCCCAACTTATTGTGAATCAAGCCCTAGTGAAACTGCACCGAGCGAGATGACGTATGCAGACGCTGAGAGTAATCTTCCTAGAGTACAGCTTATTGGAGACGTCCTTTGTCTCTTTACACTGCGTGTGCTGATTGCGTTGCAATTCAAGGTGAACCACCTCTAGTATTGTGTCAGTCGCTTGGGTGTCACTTGGGAATGTTGCATTGGTTCTCTGCTGCGGGAACATACGTTCAAGATTCGTAGTACTTTCACTTCTGTTCAGTTTCTCAATGTTTCCATTGAAAATTAGTTTTGTCTTGACATATGTGACTGAGGTTTGAGCTTATTGATGAGTCAGACAAGCACTTCCTCACGACAACATGCACTCCTTGCAGGGTGTTGTTGTGGATGCAACTTGGCTCACACCTGCAGACTTGACCAATCCCAAGGTAGTCAACACAAGTCCTGATGGAAAATATCCTGTGTTGAAATATGGTCATCACAAAATCGTCCATTCCACAGACGTTATGCTGGAATATATCGAGGAGACTTTCCAAGATCCCACGTTGATCCCAAGCCCTATAAGAAGCGAAGTCATGAATTGGGTAGCTTTTATTCGGGATGAATTCACGCCTATTGTGGGGCAGTTGGTTTATGATGGAAGTCCCTTGGTTCAACAAGAATTGAGACCGAACTTAGAATCCGCCTTTGCCAAATTGGACAGTGGTAAATTGGTACATGGAAAGCAGGGTCGATTCTTTTTTGGGAACCATTTTACTCTTGTAGATGTCTATCTCATTCCAGCTCTACTTCTCGTTGATGTGGCTAAGTTCTTTCGGGGTATTGAAATTGGAGCTGCTCACCCTCATCTACTCTCTTATAGTTTAGGTTTACATTCTTTTCCCAACTATGCTCCAGTGCGGGTGGATCTGGAGTTACTGAAAGGAGCCATAGCCAAAGTTCTGGACGAGAGGGCTCCATCTCCTTTGATCGTGATGACTGTGCTACAACATCGGAGCATTTCATGGCACTTGGAGAAGTTACTTGCACTCGCTGATGAGCTACTAGTAAATAAACTTGAGATAGAAGTGGGGGAGTTTGGAAGACGAGGAGCAGGGAAACGAATGCAACTGCTTTGGAAGATGTATGGACGCCTGGTGGACTTGATGCAAGAACATGCACAGATAGAGGAGAGAGTCATTTTTCCTGCAATAGACTGTACAGAGGAAGGTATGTTTACGATGAGTTGTCCTTTACTCTGCGTAATAGTATTGTAGAACTTGTGTTCTGATCTCCAGCTGATCCATCCATCTGAATAGCTTAAGCCTAATCATCACGTAAAATGTACGTGGTGTAAGTGAGTAAATGTGGGTTTGCATTGGCTTCTAAATGCTTCAGGAATGAGTGAGTCAGCGCTCATGGATCATGCCCGAGACCTTCCAGTGATGAATGGAATACGCGAAGACATAAAGGGGGTGATGGCGCTGGAGCAAGGCGGTTCTGACCATCTGGAAGGTTTGCAGGCTCTTGCTGCTCGATTGCGTGTTTACCAAGTGAGCTACTGTTAACATGCTTTTTTATTCTTTTGTGTGAATGACGCTTTTGGTGTCTCAATGAAGAAAGAGATATAACCATATTTGCCAACTATTCATGTGTTGCGTGGCCCACAGATTATTCTTTTGCAAGCAATCTTTAAGCGAATGATCCTAATTCGATTGTACACGTTATCTAGCGGAACGCTGTGTATCAATCAATGGTGGTGCTTAGTTTTGAATTTTGCAGCAATGCTCATGTTTTTGTCCGCAAGGCTTGCGTAAACCATTTTTGGAGCCGGGTTAAGTCATACTTACTCGTGGACGTCGCCTGTCACAGAAAAACGTCGTGGAACATTACCATGAAGAAGAGAGGGATCTGTTACCACAGCTCAACATAGCTGATATTGGGAGAGACAAGCAAGAGGAATTAGTGATTCAGTGTTTTGGGGTTATGGAGGAGTCCCATGGGAGGCTACTACCGTTCCTTCTTCAAGGGTTAGAGCGCCATGAAGTAAACCAATATCTTGGGCTCTTCCAGAAGTCATTTGAAGGAGGGAACAGCCGACTTTTCATGAGAATGTCTTCCTGCCTAGAAAATGCAGACGAAGAGTTTAATGAAGTTTGTAAAGTGGCGCAAGAAAGGATGGGTGAAGTTATGGCTCCTGCAAAAGACAATGCCTGATGGATCGTGACAAACACTATTTTCTGGTGCTTGTGGTGTGACACGCTTCACTCCAATTCTGCCTGGTGTAGGGTTTAGGGTTGAGATTAGTGTCGTAATTGATGGTTACCAAGTTACTGATGCGTATAGAATGCAATTCCTGCACTAGGTTTTGTTCTCGTGCAGTTGCCACTGGGGTAATGGTGGGTGAGTTACCTGAGGTCTTTGTAGAACCTGTTGTCTGGTTTTGAGTGTGCGTATGCCCCGATACGCAGAACTTTCGTGGTCCACCCCTGAGTAAATGTACATTAGAGTGTAGAATAGGTCCTCTGGCGCTTTATTATCAGAGATTGTAAGGTTACAATCTTGAGCTGCAGACTTTCTTTTTTTTTGATTGGTCCTAGGATAGTACATACTAGAGGTTATTGCAAGTTACTCTGTTTGAAAGCAGGACCAGGACCATGAAAACACCACAGGTCCATTGTAGATTACTGGTAGTTCCTCTTCATCCGAGGCTGAAAATCGGGGATAACTATGTAGATTTTGGTCGCCAGTGTCTCTAACCGCTATTGTTGCATGGCACGTGGGGAGTCCTCACTGAACCCCACTTCTTCACCAATATTCAATCCTCTTCCTGAGTGTTTGAACTGCTTCGATGTATGTGTATTAAGAAAGTTGCTTTTCCTATCCTTGAAGACATCCATTTGGTGGGTTGCAATTATTGTAAAGCTCATCTTTCTACACTTCGCCCTTACTCTATTGCCTCCTCTAGATTCTTGTAACATCTTGTAGTTCCTCTTCCTGTGAATTGGCTGGCTTTGGACAGCTGTGGACATGCTCCAAGGAAGACCTTATTTCCACGGTCTAATCTCCCGAGCTACGACGCTGGGCAACCTCGTTCCAGTCCCAGCACTGTACTCTCTAATTAACTTTCCAGTTACTGCAGCTGCAGCTGATCCAGCTATTCCTCAACAGCAAGTGGCACAACAGGAAGTTGTAATGGCAGGGTCGAAGGTGGTGCGCATGATCCGCCTACTGAGGTTCTCAAGCTTCCCAGGAGATGGTCTGATATGTCAGAACTTAAGCAAGCGGCACGAGCAAGTCATAGCTCAATCACCCAGTCACAATGGGTCCTTCCTCATCGTCTTTAATGAGAGGGATAAGAGGTGGCAAACATAGCTTGCATCCAAATGCATGGAAGGATGACAAAAGTTGAAATTTTTTCAACAATCCAACCCAAGTTGTGACTTCACCATATTCAGGTCATCAGTAAGCTTCTACCACCAGTTACGCTGATCTTGTTTAAAACAACCCAACTTAGTCGGTACATCATCGATCCTAAATCATGAAAGTCTTTGCTATAGGATTGATCTTGTTGTGGCATTATTACCAACTAGTTTAAACAGCCAGCAGGGAAGAGGCGGGAATGTGAGGAAGACTCTTCTCTGTGTGTTTTGCATGGAAATCTATTCTTTTCCATCAGCCAGTCAAAGGAAATTTGGCTCCATGCCACAGCTTTTATGATCAAACTTTTGTAGAACATTGAACAGCCGTGTTTATGTACTTCTTTCTGATTATATGCAATTTATAATGCTTTCAAAAGTCTGCTGAAATTAATGTAAAGTGTCTATACTATCCCAAAAAGTAGCTATACATTGTTAAAATGATGTGTACATATACTCACATATACTTTTACATAAGAGTAAATCATTTAGCCATGTACACAAGAGAAAGATAGATCATATCACCATGGTTGATCTATTAGTAATAAAAAATCATTTTATTAGAATATATGTATGTATACCAAAATAAAATATATGTTTTTACAACATGTTTTAATAGATTTTTGTGTTTATATATATATATATATATATATATATATATATATATGTATGTATTTAATATCTAAATATTTTTGAATTTAAAACTAAAACTTACATATGTTCTATAATATAAAAATTTAATTATATAAAACATATTTGATTATGGATGTGCTTTTCTTAAAACATTATTAAAAATATAGAAAAAATTAAAGAAAAGATGTTTATATAAAGTGAAATATTTGTGTATTTGTGGAATAAATTTGAATTTATTTAGATTCAAAAATCAATTTTTTTTTTAAAAAAAAACATTTTTATTTAAAATATTATTTAAGAATAAAATAATAAAATATAATAAATAGATTTTTATTTGCATATTAAATAAAATTGAAATAGATTTTAAATTTGTATTATAAAATAACAAATGCCAAAATTAAGGAGTAATAATTTTTTTAAATCAAATTTTGATAATACTATGAAAATAAAACTTATACAAATATTATTATCAAAATTTTGATATATATATATATATAAACAAAAGTTAAAAATTTAAGTTTGATTTGACAATGCAAATTAATAAAATTGAGTTTTATATATGAATTTAAATATTTATATTTATCATGATCCTATCATGTATAGAAGAATTAATCCTAATTCTTCTATATTTAAATTTAATAGAAGAAAAATCAACATTTTTAATTGAAAAAAACAACTTCTCAAAAAATAAGACTTGGATTTTTATTGAAACGTAAACTGCTTTCTTTTGGCTTTAAATCAACATCACTATCTACTTAAAGTTGCTCATATATTAAATTTATATCTATCTATATATCTATCTTTATTATTATTATTATTATTATTCAATTGTGGTTAAAATGTAACAATAGTTTTCTTAGATGTCTAGGTTAATGGAATAATGAACAATTATATATGTATATATATATATATATATATATATATATATACATAATTTAAATTATAATAAAAACATATTATATTTTTCTATGAGAAGAATGTTTTATACTAACACTTATATAAAAATGCATAATTTTAGATTTTAAACTACTAAGTAGAAGAAACCACCTTTAAATAAATTCTAATCCCAATGCCTTTAATTAAAAATAATAATATTAAAAATCACATAGTTATTCATATTTGCAAGATATTTGAATCATAAAAAATTCTTTTAATATTATATGGAACTGAACAAGACTTGATGATTTTAAAATAACTAATAGGCAATTAAATAATTATAATATTTAAATTAAAAGTACCAATCTTTACAATAATGTTTTTAGATTGTCACAATTTTTAGGTTCCAAAATTTATTTAATTATACTACAAATAAAGCATCAATTAAAAAATCTATTTATTTAAATTTTATATTAAGAAATTTATATATTTTGTTCTTATGAATTATAGATACATTTTTTTGTATACCAAATTTTTTAAAAATGTTGGATATATATATATATATATATATATATATACAAATACTGTTTTGTATCTAAGATGAGTATAAATTTTTGAATCTAAAATAATTTATATTTTCTAAAAATATTAAGATACAATCAAAAAACAATATGAAGCTATTAATTAAGTATTTGTATCATAATGCTAAAATGATGAGATTTGCATTAATAAAACAACTACACAACACTAGAGTGACCTCTCTTTATATTTTTACTTTAGAATCTTTTTCAACTTTTCAAAATACCTAACCATTCTACTATTCAAAGTGCTTCAAACACATTTCTACAGAGGTTTGTAAATAAACAAGTCTTCTGTACCAACTACTTTAAATACACTTATACTTAGGTAAACATCATTTTCTCTTTTAGATTTCAGTAATTTTTTCTTAAATATCTATATATTTTTGTATTAAACCTTTATCTTTTTCAAAATTCAAACTCTACATGACCTTGTCTCTTTTCCTTAATTACAGTAATAATAATAATAATAAATTAACAAAGAAGAATATTAATAACAATCTATAACAATCCATAAAGCAGCTCAACAAAAAAAGGAGAAAAAGATAATGCCCTACGGATGTTTTATAGAATAAATACAATCTATAAAGCATCTCAAAACAATCAATAACAATCTATAAAACATTACAAAAAACATCCCAAAACAATCAATAACAATCTATAAAACATTACAAAAAACATCCCAAAACAAACAATCTATTACAACAATCATAATAACTTTGCACACAAAACAACAACCCATATCATTTGCTCACCTATCATCAATCCCATGCCTCTTTTTCTTTCTCTCATTCTTTCCTTCCCTCCATCTATGGCTCTTCCCCATCCCCATGACCCACAACACGACAAAGCCCTAAACACAAACAAAAAACGAAAAGTAAAAAGAGGTGAAGGGGAAGAAGAAAGGAGGCAAAAACAAAGGCAACGTCCAACCACCAATTTTGCATCCCCGACAAGCCTTGCTCGCATTCCTCGGTGTCGGAGAGTGTCCGAAAATGCCGTTTTTCCTCTTTCATTTCTGCTTTTGCGAGCGTGTGTGATGTTGTTGCGTTTGTCTTCTTCTTCTACTTCATCACTTGCTTGTGCTCGTAAGTAGAAATGGATTCATGGGTTTCATGCTTTGAAACTGCGGACAAGGAGCGCGAGATTGCCTGAGAGTGGACCCGAAATCGGGTGGCGGCGACAGCGTGGAGGCCACGATTGGAGAAGAACGAAGAAGAAGACGAAGAGTAATGGGGATGCGGTGGTGAGCAATGCGCCCAGAATCGGTGTCTGCGCGTGTGCGTGTGGGTGAGGGCGTGGGATCGCAGTTGCAGCAGCAGCAGCAGGAGGGCATCCACCCTGTTTCGGCTTTGCTGTCCTCGTCTCTGCTTTGCCCCCTTTCTTCTCCTCTTCTTTGTCGTTTTGCCAATCGATTCCAGGATTGCTGCTGACCAGAAGAGCGCCATCGATTGGTGGGAGATCCCAGGTCGGAAGTCCTTCATGCTCAAGCGCCTCTCCCAATACGTTGCTTCTTCGTCTGCTTCTTCTGCTTCTTCTTCCGACCGGGAGAGCATGTAGGTGAGCATGGTCTCGCTGCTGGAGAGTTTTGCGTTGGTGGGTCCAGTGAGATGTGGTTTCTGCCCATGGCGTGGTGTGATTCTGCCGGCGCGTAGTTTCTGTGAGACTGCCCTCTTTCGTGAGCGTTTTTACGGCTCTACAGAGCAGTTTCACAGTCATTTCAAAGAGGATCCCAGTCTTGGATTTCGGATCTTGTGTGCTATGCGCACCTCCAGATTTTATAGCTTTGGAATTATTTTTGAAGATGGAATAGGTTTATTGGTTTGCTCTCTTTTATTTTGAATTCGGATGCAAGAAAGTTGAAAGAATAATCAGTGGGTACGGTCGTAGGATTTTTGAAGATGGCGGTTTGGGTCAGGTTTATGAATTTATCGTTCTTGGTATTAAAGTAGCTAGTGGAATATCGCACCAGACGTTCGTTAGTTTGTTGTTGTGTCTCTTATGTTGCCAGGCTGCCTGAGCTCAGTAGCCAAGCTAATAAGTCTGGATGACTGGCTGAGTGTAGAATCTTGACTGATTGCCTGTTACACAAGAGTGATGCAGTGTATGCTGGTCCGTGAAGTTATTGATCTTTAGCAGCATCTATTGCCACTTGAAAGTGCTCGGGATTTGTTTAGTGATGCAGGTGATCAGAGACATCAGCACTATTGTGCTAGCTTATTTTGTGTGCAATAGCATTGGCTGGATTTGAAAGGCTTAGGAGGTAGAATTCCGAGGGCGTTTTTCAGTCATGAAAAGGTACGCAGAGCTTTCAGTAATTGCTTTCAGTTCATAGAGCTTCATGGGTAGTGTTGGGTTACTTTCATTTTAAAACCTCGACAACCATTGTTTTATCAAAGATAGCTATAACTAAGTCACGAGGCATGGCACACAGAGGGCCATCTCCGCTTGCATCTGCAAATTGCTCAATTATCAATTTTTTCCTCAATATAAAACTTCTCATTGCTTTGCTGTTTTTCAGTGCAGTGGGGGCTGCGGCTTCCTCTAAACCCAGAACAATGTTGAGGTTGATAGTAGCTGCAATTGTAGGTGGACTGATTGGTGCCTTTATCAGCACGCTCATGCAGGTATGTTATGAGCAGCCTGGTTTCCTCCTCTAGTCGGAAAACTGAGACATGTGGCAATACATATAATCTATGACAGAAAGTTTTCGCTTGCCTCGTCCTTTCATGTAAGATGTTCTCTGAAGCTGCACATGCAAGTGGTCCCCGGTGCTTCTTTCATAAGTAGAGGTATTCTGGTATAGTTGACTTTGTTTGACATGTGCCGAATAAACGAATCTACTTGATTAAAATTTAAGGATAGTTGTGTTAACGCTGAGAAGCTGTGTTACAGCATGGCGTCGCACCTAATCTTGGGTATATTGCTGCGCACATCCAGCAGCCGCAGTATGCCGATTATCCACCAATTCCTCCTACGGTACAATTCATCATTCTTAATACGGCTGTCTAATTGCTTTGACATCTGTTCCAGCGTGGATTGGGTGGTGCTTGCTTGGTAGAGCACATAGTGCATAGGTATGGTGATGATCATTTCTCACGGTTGAGCTGGTCTTGTATGTTTTTTACTTCTACAATACATCGAAACAAGTTTTTAAAGCTCTAGGCTCTGCTGTGGTTAGTATGGATAATGACCTAGGTTTGTCTTAAATCACTTGGCAATGTTAAGTTGGACATAAATTCAGTGGTAAGCCTTTTAAGCTGCAGTTCATACCCATTGAGCTCGTATACTCGCTTTCTCATTTTGTTTAGTACGGGATACTTGGAAAACAGGATATGGAAGGGCCCACGTGCACTAGGGATAAACCGCTAGGAACCGAGTCTCTTCCACCTGGCATCATCCACGCTGAAACTGATCTTTTTCCTCGTAGGTTATGGGGGAAACCTGAAGAGGTATGCTGTGAAGGGATGAGGTTACTTCCAGGCAGTAGAAGCCTTACATGAAGCAAAATGATGCCGTGGGATATTTCTCCATGTACAGCTTTGGAAGTTTTTGTTGAGGCCTTATCTTCAGGTTCATGGGTAGCCGAAATATTCTTACTTGGTGGCATATGAGTTATTGTTGAGCTTCACTGCCACACCTTATCCATGTGATGCTTGTTTATGTCACTGTTATTTATGAATCACTGTCTGATACCAAAATTATTGCAGGATCTATTGGAAACGCCAAAATATCTTTTGACGTTCACTGTCGGTGTTAGTCAGAAGGCAGCTGTCAATGCCGCAGTCCAGAAAGTATGTCTCTCGTAGCCTCACACAGGATTCACAAGATGTGTTTTGCGTTGATATAGCTTGGCTGCCATTTTATCAGACGAACGTGTTTGTGGATATTCAACAAGCTTACTATACCACTGCTGCAACAATGCATCCTACAAAATATACTGTCTATAATTCACGTCCTTGATTTGGCTCTTCAGTTCTCGAAGGAGTTTCAAATATTGCTCTTCCATTATGACGGAAAAGTGACTGAATGGGACGAGTATGAATGGTCTCAAAACGCCATTCATATAAGTATTCGTAAGCAAGCCAAGTGGTATGTTCCCTTCTAATACTTAAAACCAATGGGGCTATTTAGGCTTAGAGGATGTGTTGTCAGTGTGATACTCTTCACTTTTGTGCGTTTTTGTTGAGCTTTTGGTAATGCCTGTTTGTTACTTGTGGTGGATTCTCAATCTGACTACATTTCTGGCTCTGCTCTGTTGTCGAAGTTGTAGTTAACTGATTTTAGGGGCAATTGCAGGTGGTATGTCAAGCGATTTTTGCATCCTGATGTGGTGGCACAGTATGAATATATCTTCATTTGGGATGAGGATCTTGATTTGACTCATTTCAATGCGCGGAGGTGAGTTACTTCTGTCATAATTTGTTCCGGAAGTCTCAGCCAACTTGTGAGTCCAGAATTGTGAACCGCATTTACGACTTTAGGATGTGCTTTTGCAACAATAATGTGATACGGCTTTAATATAACGAAGGCTTTCTAACGAAAATAAAATAAAAAAAACTGCAGGTACCTGGAGCTCGTCGAAAAGCATGGTCTCGAAGTTTCACAGCCGTCGCTGGATTCCTCTCGTGGTACAACTTGGGCAATGACAAGGCATCGGGGCGATATTGAGGTTCACAAGTATGTTTCTGATATGATTTGGGTGATATATTCTACATGCTGTTCTAATAATAGTACTCTAACATTATTAAATGTATAGTGGGGAGTCTTTTAATTCTGTAATCAGCGTCCTCAAATAAGAGTACAGTGTTGAACTGTACCTCTTCTGTGTTGAGAGCACCGTTTTGAACACATACTGGACCCGATTTATTCATTTCTTTTTCACTGTAACATTTCTGTTGTTTTCTGCCATTTGGTTCCCATTTTTAGTTTTGTCACTTATGATCAGACACAACTTAGAAACTTCTTCATGAGGGTATCCATATGGGAAATCTTGTAATGCTATCTTAAATGATACTATCATCCGTTTTACTGAAAAGCACTGACCTTCAAAACAAACCTATGCGCATCTTCAGGGTAACGGTGGAACATCCTGGTTGGTGCAAAGATCCGCTCAAGCCCCCCTGTGCAGGGTAACTAGCCACCAAACAAAGCATCATGTGATGGGTTCATAAGATGGCTTCCTTTTTTGAGATTCGTACTCGTTTGTTGGTCACTGACGGATTGTTCGATATCGCAGGTTTGTTGAGATCATGGCACCCGTGTTTTCACGAAAAGCATGGCGTTGCGTCTGGTACATAATACAGGTACATGATCACAACTTTGAAGAATCCATTTGATTTACCTCAGTCGAGACCATGAGGAGATGCAGTATATGTTTCCATCTAATTATTTTATATCTGTACTTGGTTATAGAATGACTTGGTACACGGTTGGGGTCTGGATTTCGCCATACGTCGCTGTGTTGAGGTAACTCTGCTTCCGAACTCAAGTTTGTTATGAGTTAATATTGTATAAACAGTCAGCTATTGCGGAATTCTGATTAGTGAATATTCTCCGCTCTTCTTAAGCGCATCATTTTGTCCATACAGCCTGCTCACGAGAAAATTGGAGTAGTTGATGAAACATGGATTATACACGTCGGTGTACCATCACTTGGAAATCAGGTGGGTCATTCTACATATTCTGTGTAACATTCCCTTGGAGTATGGATATATCTTCTAATTCCCAGCATTCTCTAGTAGTCGTTTAGCAGCATCACCATAAATGCAGGAGGAACTTTGCATCAAGAAACTCTATTCCAACTTTATTGGCTAACGCCATTCTGTCAAGTGATATAGTTGTAATGCTTTTTACAATCCCCCTTCATCAAGAGTATGAGTCCTCTTTCGAAGCTTGAAATGGGATAAATCTCTCCGCAATACATGATGCGCATAAGTACCTTCCGACTCTCTTCTGTCTAATTTTTTCAAGATTGCAAACCAACCTATGGACTCGTTCATGAACGAAAGTATTCGGAACTTGAGTATGTCAAGAATTTCCCTCAATCATCTAAAGCATTGTCTATTGTTTGCAGGGTGTAACCATCGCTGGGAGGGCACCATGGGAAGGGGTAAGCACATCTTTTTGTAATCATCTTCGTTTTCTTCCGCACCTGCTTGTATCAACTTCATTTTTCAAGCTCAACCCTGAAACTAGTATTTTGACGATCTTTTTCTGCTCCTTGCAGGTACGGTTGAGATGCAATTATGAATGGCAAATTTATTCTAAGCGATGGAAGGAAGCCGATGCAAGACAAGCTGAATTAGATGCAGCAGCTCAAGGGAAGTAGAAGAGTTTATTGCAATACCCTGGGTGCCCTTGGAATGTGCCCGAAGTGTGTGGCTTGCTCGTTTCTTACCGAGCATATCTCCTCTGCCTACTCGAGGTTACTTAGTGCAAGTTAGGCTCTTCTGTGGTGGGAAACTTACCACCTGGATCCTAAAAGCAGATTGATTCATCCCTGAAAGACACTTGGAAACCTGGTTAAAACTTCGTCACAATTTTAGACTGTCCTTGCAGGACCTTTTACTTGCACGTCGGTGCTGGAAACACGGGAGAATTTTTGAACGGCTGGTGTGACATCCATCTGGAAGTTTCCGGACTTGTAGTTTTCTGCAGTAATAGACGTCGTAACAGACTCTGGAAGCTCCTGAATTTGAATGAAGAATCAAAATACTGTGAGAATAAACACATCTTTTTTCCCGTTGAGACTGCGTCCCGACTTTGTTACAAACGTTACGTATCATCACAAACTACACGTGCTGAGGCGTTAGAACACCCTTACTGATTGCATTCCAGTACATTTGATACTCCAATGATCGGCTTGCAAGTCCATCACAATATCAAAGCCACGATTATCTCGGAAACTCTGCACTTTGTAAGGAAAACGGGCATCACTTCCTTCTACCTTTGTATGTGAAATGTCTTGACCCAGCTCAAAGGCTTCGGAGTACCGGCGATGCATATAGCTTCGAGCTTCTGTTGCCTGCTCTTCGGTAAAGAATTGAGCCCCATGGCCGGTTTTGCTGTGCGACGGGTGCGCGCGGTGCATCGGCGGCGGCGGCGGATTAGCAAGTCGTACGCATCCATTGTGGTCCAGACGGTTAGGATACTCGGCTAGGGCTCGGCTCGGGATCCGTGAAAACCGGAGCCGCACTTGGTCTCTAGATCCGGTTTTTCAGGAGTCGACGTTTTGATCGATTGTGTACTCCAAGCTGGGGTTTGTAGCTTTGTATTTGTTGAGAACGTTTAGAAAGACACAAGAGTAATAGTAAGTCATACACAGATACAAGAGTAGTAGTAAGTCATACACACAAGTGGGTTTCTAAGGAGAGAGAACTTCACACTTAAAAATCTATTGATCTGGTTGTGTCTAGTATACAAGAAGAGAAAAGGGGAGAGGATAAAGAGTACTTCTCCACTAGACTCTAAATATTGTAGCTATGGTATTTACTGTAGTCTACAGTAAATATTATGCAGAGCGTCGACTACATTTAATGATCTCAACACTCCTCCTCACTCATCATAATATTTACATAATATAAAATTTGTATGGAATTATGATCTATACTTTTCTCTGATCTTGCAAGATCAATAATTGTTGCCTCATTAAAACCTTATGTAGGAAAACCTTATTGTATGTAAGAAAAAAACCATAGATGAAAGAAAAAGAGTACAACATCATTTTTTTTAATTATTTAAAGAGCTCATTAACTTTTTTATTCAAGAAAAGTAAGTCGCCGTATACCAATGCCATAAGTAAGTCGACGATGGTTGCACAATAGGAGAGCTTTGGTGAAGAGATTAGCAAGGTTATTTGTAGATTCAATTTTCTTAATTATAAGTTCTTGATCAGTAATCAAGTCATAGGTATAATTAGAATACTTTGGATCAATATGCTTTGTCCTGTCGCCTTTAATGAAACCAACTTACATCTGTGCAATACAAGCACTGTTATCTTCATGCAAGACAGTTGGAGAATCATCATATAAAAATCCACATGTTGTTTGAATGAATTTATCAATTAATCGCAACCAAATACATTCTCGGGATGCTTCATGTAAGGTAATAATTTTTGCATGGTTGAATGAAGTTGCAATTATTATTTGTTTCATTGATTTCCATAATATTGCAACTCCATGTCTTAAAAATACATATCTTGTTTGAGATTTAGCTGTTGCAATATCAAATTTATATCATGCATCACAATATCCAACCAATTTTGGATCCGCGGATTGTGTGTAATATAATCCCAAGTCTTCAGTACATTTTAAGTAACGTAATAAATGTTTGATGCCATTCCAATGTCTCAGTGTTGGATGTGCACTATGTCTTGCAAGAACACTAATTGCAAATGCAATATCTGGTCTTGTAGATGTAGCTAAATACAAAAGTGCTCCAACTGCTGCAAGGTATGGATATTGATCTCCCAATATTTCCTCCTTCTCCTCGCATAGACGGTATGGATCATGACCATCACCACCACGTCCAACCATTGGTGTGGACAATAGATAAGCATCAATCATATTAAATCTTTGCAAGATTCGTCTAATATATGTTAGTTGGTAGAAAAAAATACTACCATCTGTTAGATGCATAATCTGAAGACTAATGCAGAAAGTAGTTTTTCCTAGCATTTTCATCTCAAATTCACGTATAAGTAGGTTAGTAACTGTAACACATGCAGATGTAGTACCCACTAGAATAAAATCATCAACATATACAGCGATGATCACAAAACCAATTTTATCTCGTTTGATAAACAAACAAGGAATTAGTGGATCACTTATAAAATTATTTGTAATTAAATAATCTCGAAGACATTGATACCACATTCGTCCAGATTGTTTTAAACCATATAAGCCCTTACATAATTTAATACCACGATATTATCCTAGAGCAGGTCGATTTAGAGTTCTTATTTCTAAGCCAGGTGGAACTTTCATATAAATATTTGCATCAAGAGAACCATATAGATATGCAGTTATTACATCCATCAGATGCATCTCAAGGGTGGCATGAATTGTCATTCCAATAATATATTGAAATGTAATTGAATCAATGACTGGAAAATATGTGGATTCATGATCAATGCCAAATTGTTGAATAAATCCTTGAGCAACAAGATGACCTTTATAGCGGATTATTTGGCCTTGAGCATCTCACTTGCATATTAATACTATTTTATATCCCACAAGGCGAGATGTAAGAGTGTCTACAATTGGACCAAAGACTTTCTTCTTACACAAAGAGGCATATTCTTCTTCAATAGCAGTTTTCTATTTTAACCAATCAGAGCGATGCATCGCCTCCTCGATAGTTTGAGGTTCAGGATCGTCTTCCTTGCAAGAAAGGGCTTCTATAATCATATATGCAAATGATTCATCTACCATAATAAATGGTCTATCCCAAATATCATCTGTGGCACAATACAAAATAGATAATTCTTTACTCAACCTGTTCTTATTCCTTCCAATTCCAAGATTGTTTTTCATAGGAATTGAAGGTATATTATGCATAGATATATCATCATGAATTGGTAGTCCCGCAAGATAAGTGGCAATTTCTTGAGAAATAATACCAAGATTAGTCAATTTTATAGCTTTCTTCTTACGTGGTTGCTTATCTGGTCCACGAGTTCTTTTAGTTGTTGTTGTTATAACTTGAGGTATTGTAGTCAATGGCACTGCAATCTAAGCAGGTGCATTCTGAGCCTCATTACTAGGAACTCTTATAATTCTAGATGCATCATTGAAGCCATCAAGTGTTTCATCTGTAATCCGTTTTAGATGCAAAATCTTAGGAATTTCAATTTCTACTAAAGATGTCTTAGGATCAGGATTCATTGTAAACATTTTTGGTGCTTCAAATATGAGTACTTTATTTCTTTGTTGATTGGATATTCTTCCTTAAAAAAATGAGAATACATTTTCTTCAAAACGGCAATTTTGCAAACGTGCATGTAATAATGTGCCAGTTGATGCATTAACAATACGAATAATGCTTGGTGAATCAAAACCAACATATATGCCTTCTTGTTGATGAACTCCAATGGTACGTTGTTGAGGTTCTGGTAGTGGAATCCAAGCATGGCAACCAAATACTCGTAAGTGAGATACATTTGGAACACGACCCAAAATGAGCTCATGTGGTGAAACAATTTCAAGAGAAGAAGGGCGGAGGCATACTAATGCTGCAACATGTAAAACTACATGACCCCACATAGATGCAGGTAAATTTGCGTGAAGGAGGAGTGGCCGAGTAATTAGTTGTATATGCTTTATAAATGAATCTGCAAGTCCATTTTGAGCATGTTCATATGGAACATAATATGTCAACTCAATTTTTATTGCAATACAATAGTATTCAAAAGACTTTGATGTGAATTCTTTTGTATTATCCATATGTAATGTTTTTATAGGATAATCAGGAAAATGTGTCCGAAAACAAATAAGCATAGATATAAGATTGGCAAATACCATGTTTCAAGTTGATAATAATGAAACATGTGATTGTTTATCTGATGCATCAATAAGGACCAAAAAATAATGAAATGGTCCTGATATTGGATTAATAGGACTACAAATATCACCATGCAATCTTTCAAGCATTGGTGGTAATTCTTGTCAAAGTGTCCAAATTGAAGGCCGAGTAATCATTTTACCTTACATGTATGCACGACATAATTCCATAGAGTCTATATTTGCAGGCTTTAAATTGTGTCCAATTATACATAGAATGATCTTTCTAAATAATGTGGATCCTGGATGTCCCAATCGTCAATGCCAGAGAAAAATACGACTCTCTGTGATAGATGATGCAAAATTAAATATAATGGGAGGCCGAATCATAATTCGGTATAAACCATTTTCTATAGCAAAAGCTTTTTCAATAACTTTATGGTTCTTTGCAAGAACCAAAACCTCTTTTGTATTTAAAGTGGCGGTCGAGAGGTGATAACCATTAATACGTACATCTTGATAGCTGATCAAACTCCGAGGTGCTGATGGTGCAAACATCACATGTTTATATTTTATAATGGAACCCCCAGGTAATTTTATGATCGTTGTGCCCTCTTAGAAACAAAATACATTTGCTCCAGCCATGGTCATCATATTTTTAGTTTGCCAAGTTGAAGATTTTTCAATAAAAAATTGTCTATCTCACAAGATAGTATGTGTTATTGCAGAATCAATGAGCGCATCATTTGATTCATCATTAGACATTTTGTCATTCATATAAGCCTCTAAGTCATCAACACCAATTGAATCCATCGACGCATCCATGGTATGAACTTCACGGGCCTCAGCTCATAGTTTCTTATTTTCTTGGAACATTTTGATAAAATATTCTGAAGTATGGTACACATGTACTAAATGTCCAATCATTCCACACTTATGGCAAGAATGCATCTCTAATTTTTGTTTTCTATTATAATTAATAGTAGAACGTTTATTCTTTCTATATGGGTAGAAATGGTCATGACTATGACTACCCTAATATTTATGAGCACGTTTTCCATGTTTATATAATTTCTTCTTAGATTTTGAAATATTAAGTGCATGACATTCTGGAACTGTAGTTCCAATAGGACGAGCTTGCACATTGTGTAAAAGTAGCTCATTTTGCTTCTCCACAAGAAGTAGATAGGACATGAGATCAAAATGACTCTGAAATTTCATGTTCATGTATTGTTGTGCAAGCACAAT